AACCCTTTAGTGGGTGCGCCTTTAATGGGTGCCATACCAGTGCAATTTCCCCGTGGCTTTCCCCAAAATGCTCTGGCACCTAAGGACTCCCTGTTATAGAGGAACTGAATTTTTGAAAAATAAAGATCTTGCAGCAGTGGATTCCACAGTTTCCCCGGCACAAGACATGGCTTGTTTGCTTACTTGTTTATTGCATTTCTATCCTGCCTTTTCTTCAAGTAGCTCAAAGTGGTTCTGCCACTCCTCATTTAATCCTCCCAATGACCCTGAGAGGTAGGTTAGGCTGAAAGGGATGTTGGTCACCCATCGATCTTCACGCCTGAGTGGGGATTTGAACCCTTGTCACCCAGGTCCTAGTCGAGCACACTGAACCATGCTGACTCTCACTTGCACTGTTTCAGAGGACCCGAAGTGAAAATCTTGTGGCAGTGAATTCCATAGGCTCCCCAGGATAAGGGTCGTTCTTATGCACATGGTTTTTTTTAAAAAAAATGGTTAGGGGGGAGGGAGCAGGGATAGGAGCCAGTTCCTCTCGCTTGCGATGAAATCATAAAGATCTCTCTGCTTTAAGGAGGAAGGAAGGTGGAGTTCAGAGGTCAACTGGAACGAACAAAGCGTTTCAGATGGGGTACCTTTGAGAGTTAAAAATAACTGCCGGGATTTGCATAGCGTCTCACTACAACCAGAAAGCTTGAAAGGCTGAACGTTGCTCCTTCCCTGAGCTTGTGCGAAACGTCTCTTCTCCTCAGCTGCCTTCCCTTAAAACACACACACACACACACACACACCATCCATCTTTGCAAGACAGGTGTTTGCCTGCTGCTGTCTGACAGCCTGGACTCCTTCTCCGTTCAAGATGAGCCACACCTGAAATGTTTTCTTGGTGCCTGAATATATGCATGTGTATTCCTGGCAGCTGACAAGGAATTACTCCAGGAGAGCAGCAATCTTTTTAGGAAATATGGGTATATTTGGATTTTTGAAGCAAGTGCCAGGAGCGCCACTCCCTACCCCAGAAAGAGAGAGGGTTACCGTATTTTTCGTCCCATAGGACGCTCCATCCCATAGGACGCACCTAGTTTTTTTGGGGGGAAATAAAGGAAATTTACCCCCCTTTATTTCCCCACCAAAACCAGGTCGGGGAACAGCGGGATGGCGGCGCTGCGCCTCCCCGCTGTCCCCTGAGCTTGTGGGGCTGGCCGATGTCTGCCCGAAGCGCGGGGCGCTCTGCTTCAGGCCGTCCCGCGTGCCGGCGGCAGGCTGCTATCCGCAGCCTAGGGAGCCCTGTGGGAACTCCTGCGGGCTCCCCAGGCTTGCTGATAGCTTCCTGAAGCCTGGAGAGCGCGAGGGGTCGGTGCGCACTTACCCCTCTCGCTCTCCAAGCTTCAGCGAAAGCCTGCATTCGCCCCATAGGACGCACACAGATTTCCCCTTCATTTTTGGAGGGGGAAAAGTGCGTCATATAGGGCGAAAAATACGGTAATTGTTAATTGCTCAGCATTACAATAAACAGTGAGAGATTGTAGAAGTTTTCTTAGGCCTACACAGGAGAAGGAAATTAGAACTGCGTCATCCGCATATAAGACAACCAGGAGGGGTGTACCAGCCAATTTAGGGGGGTGGGCATTTTCTTTCTCCATGTTTCCTACTAAGGAGTTAATATAGAAGTTGAATAAAGTAGGCGCAAGGACGCAGCCTCGCTTAACACCATGGGAGGTTTGGATTTCCTTGGATAAATGGCCGTCGGTCACACCTAACCCAGACCCGAGTGTTTTTGTATAAACTTCAGATGAGACACAGTAGACGTCTGTCTATGTTTGAGGCGCTTAGTTGTTCCCAAAGCCTATCTCGTGATATTAAATCAAAGGCCGATTTAAAATCTCTGAAAGCTGAGGGTGCACACAGTTCGGATTTCAAGACGACCTGCCTTGTTTCAATAGCAAGGGAAATTTAGCCTGGATAAGAGAAGAAGGAGAGGCGATATATCTGAGGGGCTGCCCAGTGGAAGAGAAAGCAAGTTTTCCCCCTGCTTCTCCGGAGGGTCGGAGCTGAACCAATGGATTCCAAACTACAGTGGTACCTCAGGTTAAGAACTTAATTTGTTCCGGAGGTCCGTTCTTAACCTGAAACTGTTCTTAACCTGAAGCACCACTTTAGCTAATGGGGCCTCCTGCTGCTGCCGCACCGCTGCCAGAGCACGATTTCTGTTCTCATCCTGAAGCAAAGTTCTTAACCTGAAGCACTATTTCTGGGTTAGCGGAGTCTGTAACCTGCAGCGTATGTAACCCAAGGTACCACTGTACAAGAAAGGAGATTTGGGCTAAACATTAGGAAGAACTTTCTGAGGGCAAGAGCTGTTTGATAGTGGGACGGACTCCCTCAGAAGGTGACCTTGGAGGTTTTAAAGCAGAGCTTAAATGGCCATCTGCCATGGATGCTTTAGCTGAGATTCCTGCTTTTTAGGGGGTTGGACTAGTTGATCTTTGGAGTTCCCTTACGACTATATGATTCCATGAGCTGGGAGAAGAAAAGCTCTGTTTTAGCAGCAGTTTTTCCATGGAAACCGCTTGGTGCCACAGGAGCAGCCCAGCGCCTTGCGCTGCGGTTCCCAGGCGCCCGACAAACCAGCTGGCTGCCGGGCGCTTGGGACGTGCTGCTGGCAGACTTTCACTGCGGGCGGAACGACCCACCCGTCAATCACGTGGCCTCATAGTGACATTGGGTGACTGGTTGCCCCACTCACCTGTCAAAACCAGCCTGCGGGGCGGGAACGGATGAGGATCCGGCCCGCTGGCACATAATAAAGTTTCTCCACCTAACCAAACTGTCATGCTTTCGACCCGTTGCTTCAGCCGAGCCGCTGCCCAATCAGTGAAGCTCAGGCGAGCTGAAATCTCGTCGGCCCGCATTTTTAAGACCTGCCTCGAGTCCTGACGCATCAGTGACTCGCCCCGAAGAAAGGACCATCTGTCTTTCGGGTTCTGAAAGTTTCCCCGCCTGGCTGCCCAGAGCACATTGTTACTCACTGGGGAGCAACCCTGTTTGTAGCTTTCTGTCAGCGCAGAGTATTGCTTTGGATTTTAAAAGTTTGCCGCTGCTGCGATTGACCTCCGGGTACACAAAGGGCTCGAACCTGAAATCACCGCCAACTTGCAGCGACTTGTCTCTCTTTCCCGTTTCCCTGCGGTGTCCCAGGAATGAACCTGCATCTTTCACCGCAACCCTGTTCAAACAGCATTCCGACTGCGCTGGAGTTAACTGAGCAACGCCCAAGTGCATTGAAGTGCATAGAAAGGGGAGGGGTGTCTTATTACACCAGTGAAATTAGCTAAAATAAATGTTGGAAATGTAAAGAAAAAGAAGGATCTTTTTATCGCACGTGGTGGGAATGTAAGAAAGTGAAAAGCTTTTGGGAAATGATATATAATGAGATGAAAAAGATGTTGAAATATACAATAAAAAACAACAACAACCCAGAAGCATTTTTACTTGGCATTGTAGGGGAGGATATTAACAGACAGGACAGTAAACTGTTTTTATATGCAAGAGTCTTATTGGCACAAAAATGGAAACAAGAAGAATTACCGACGAAAGATGAATGGCAGACGAAATTAATGGACTATGCAGAATTGGATAAACTAACAGGAAGGATTCAAAACCTGTGGGACCAGAGATTCTCAGAGGATTGGAGCAATAATCCAGTACAGTGATTTTCATCAAAATCTGAGATGTAGTAGCTTTATTTTTTTTAAAAAAACAGAACAATTGTGATGATCTGGAACAAACCCATTGGAGAAGGTAGCAGTGGTTGCCCAGACCTTGATGCCGGTTGCAAATGGGACCCCAAATCAGTTCAAGCTTCGGGGACCCCAAAATGTAGGTCCACCACCGCTCCTACCCCTCCTCCCTGAAACCTTCAAAGTCCCTTTTTGCTCACCTGGCGCCCTCCAGACGTTTGGGACTACAATTCCCAGCAGGCTCGGGCTGGTGGGAGTTATAGTCCAAAGCATTTGGAAGGTGCACCAGGCCAGGAAAGCATGCTTTGTAAATTCTCCTTCTTCCTCAGGTTACACACGCTTCAGGTTAAATACGCTTGAGGTTACAGACTCCGCTAACCCAGAAATAGGGCTTCAGGTTAAGAACTTTGCTTCAGGATGAGAACAGAAATCGTGCGGCAGCGGGAGGCCCCATTAGCTAAAGTGGTGCTTCAGGTTAAGAACAGTTTCAGGTTAAGAACGGACCTCTGGAATGAATTAAGTACTTAACCTGAGGTACCACTGTATATTGATACACACACACACACCTTAGGGCAGTTCACAAGATGAAAATACAGGCATACCTCGGGTTTAAGTAGCTTCGGGATAAGTATTTTCGGGTTGCACGCTGCAGTGACCCGGAAGTAACAGAGTGCGTTACTTCCGGGTTTTGCCGCTCGCGCATGTGCAGATGGTCAAAATGGCGTCACGTGCATGCGCGGAAGCGGCGACCCCCGCACGCGCAGACGTGGGCTGCGTTCGCTTCTGGGTGCGAACAGCGCTCCGGAACGGATCCCGTTCGCATCCAGAGGTACCACTGTAGAGGATAAAAACACAAAATACCGTATTTTTTGCTCCATAAGACTCACTTTCTCCCTCCTAAAAAGTAAGGGGAAACGTGTGTGCGTCTTATGGAGCGAATGCAGGCTGCGCAGCTATCCCAGAAGCCAGAACAGCAAGAGGGATTGCTGCTTTCACTGCACAGCGATCCCTCTTGCTGTTCTGGCTTCTGAGATTCAGAATATTTTTTTTCTTGTTTTCCTCCTCCAAAAACTAGGTGCGTCTTGTGGTCTGGTGCGTCTTATAGAGCGAAAAAATACGGTAAATAGTTAGAGCAAAAACAAAGAGTGCCATGGCAACGTCTGCAACACAGTGGGAACTTTCTGCGAGCCAACCTTCTGCCCACTCTGATCCCATGTTGTTTTCCCTGGCTCTCCCTATCCACCTGTGTCTCTTCCTTTGCAGTTCCCCGAGTGCGGATTCTACTGCCTCTACGACAAGATTCTGCTCTTCAAGCATGACCCATCCTCGGCCAACATCCTGCAGCTGGTCCGAGCCGCCAGCGACATCCAGGAAGGGGACCTGGTGGAGGTGGTACTCTCAGGTGAGCTGGTTTAGCAGAATCGTGAACTGGCTCGGCTGCGGGTCCCACGCAGTGGCGGGTTGGGCTAGATGACCTTTGGGGGTCTCCCTTCCCAATTCTATGATTCGAAGGGAATGTGCATTTACTCCTTGTTTACTCCCCACAACAACCCTGGGAAGTAGGCTAGGCTGAGAGGCAGCGGCCGGCCCCCCAAGGCTGCCCAGTCTTCATCCCCAAAAAGTTTTTGATTTGAGTTTCTACAGAAATTAGGCTGCATGTTGTATTTTAATCTTGTTTTTAAGTTGTATTTGAATCAATTGTTTTTATACCTGGTGTTCACCGCCTTGAGCCCTTTCTTGGCTGGGGAAGGCAAGGTAATAATAATAATAATAATAATAATAATAATAATAATAATAATAATTTTTTATTTATACCCCGCCTTTCCCAGCCAAGACCGGGCTCAGGGCGGCTAACAACCAATAATAAAAATAAGTTGATTAAAATACAATTTAAAAGATTAAGATACAATATTAAAACAATTAGGGAGCAATCTCATCATAGGAGGAAAAAGGAAAAAGAAAGAGAGGGAGGGAGGGAATCAAATTGGCTCCAAGCCAAAGGCCTGGCGGAACAACTCTGTCTTACAGGCCCTGCGGAAAGAGATCAGATCCTGCAGGGCCCTGGTCTCATGAGACAGAGCGTTCCACCAGGCTGGGGCCAGTGTTGAAAAGGCCCTGGCTCTGGTTGAAGCTAATCTTACTTCCTTAGGCCCGGGACCACTAGGGTGTTGCTATTTATGGACCTTGAGGCTCTCCGTGGGGCATACCGGGAGAGGCGGTCCCGTAGGTACGAGGGTCCTAGGCCGTGAAGGGCTTTAACGGTCAAAACCAGCACCTTGAACCTGACCCTGTACTCCACCGGGAGCCAGTGCAGCTGGAAAAGCACTGGGTGAATATGCTCCCATGGCAGAGACCCCGTGAGGAGCCTCGCTGCAGCATTCTGCACCCGCTGGAGTTTCTGGGACGGCTTCAAGGGCAGCCCCGCATAGAGCGAATTACAGTAGTCAAGCCTGGAGGTGACCGTCGCATGGATCACTGTGGCCAGGTCGGGGCGGGAAAGGTAAGGGACCAACTGCTTGATGCGGCGAAGGTGGAAAAATGTCGCCTTGGCTGTAACCTGCGCCTCCATGGAAAGGGAGGCGTCAAGGATTACATCCAAACTCTAATTAGTTAGCTTCATGACGGGATTTGAACCCTGGTCTCTGCCAAGTCCTGGTCCAGTGCTCCAACCGTTTCACCACCCTGGTTCCTTAGCAAAGGCTGGCACAGTCCTCTCTGTCTCTCTGTATTTTTCTCTCTCCTGGCCTAGATCTCTTGCTTGCTTCAGGAGGCAGGTGATGTTTTTGAATCCGACGCCCAGGCAACGGAGCAGGATGTGGGTTTTGGGTACAGACAACCCCTTTCCTCCGCTTGGGGGAAGGGCGGTAGAAGGTGCTTCCTGGCGGATGTCCTCTTGCACCCGAGGGACCTGGGGCACTTCCTGCGTACCTGGGTGGGGCTAGGGAAGCCCCCTAAAAACAGCTGCTTCTTCCTGGGGCGAAAATGGGTGGCCACAAGGGTCAAAATCAGAGGAGCCCAGGGGCATAGCTGTCAACTTACAGATTTGAAAATAAGGAGCCAGCAGCCTTGAAAATAAGGGACCAGCAGCCAAAATAAGGGATTTTAGTCGACCAGTTAAAAGGGACCAGATAGTTTTGGAGAGCAGTGCCAGTTTTTAGCCCTTCGTTCCCAGAGGTTACTGCTCAAGACACCAGCTGATGAAACACTGCAATTAAATAACTACAAGCAGCAACAACTTTTTGCGCAAAACGAAGTCCAAGCTACGAAGATGCTGCTGCAGTTCTGTATCTTTTCTCTTGTGCTCCATCTGCAGCGCTCAGTTTCATCAGGCGGGGCGGGAGGAAGGGGGGGAATAGCGCCCTGAAGTAAACCCACAGATCAGACCATCTATGCTAGTCTACCACTACAAATCTATGGGAGAAGCGCTTGCGGTCCTTCCTCCGCTTTCCCCCTCTATGCTTAGCCCTTGGCACACCTGCTCGCGCCTCCTCCTCCTCTCTCTGAACTGCTTTCTCTATGGTTGCCCTCGCTCTCCTCTCAAGGCTCCTCAACAATTCATAGACCATGCCAGGCTGCCCATCTCATCTGGTTCCTTCGGCAGCACAGCCGCAGTACGGCCTAGCGGGAGCGGGCACGGGCAGAGGGGAGGCCCCAGGCAGAGACGCTCAGTTCGGCGGCCGCAAGGAGGATGGTGGTGGAAGGGCCCGAGGCTCCCGCCAGTCCTGGCGGGGAGGGGTTCCCGGGGGCCAAGGCTGGTGAGAGGAGGCCGGAGGGGGGCGGGCCTGGGCAGCCAAGCAACACAGTTGGAGCCTCCCTCCTCCCTGGCCGGCAGGGAGGGAGGGAGAGGAGCTGCTTCCTTTGAAACCCAGGAAATTTAAGGGACATCCATCAATAAGGGACAGCAGCGGGACATGGCGCTGGGATAAGGGACTGTCCCTCCAAATAAGGGACGCTTGACAGCTATGCCCAGGGTGGGTTAGCCTCCAGCTGCTCCCTCACTTCCACTTCACAACAACCCTGCGAGGCAAGCCAGGCTTGAAACATGGCGACTAGGACAAGGTCTCCCAGAGGCCACTCATTTCTAAACTATTTCAGCTGGGGCATGTGGATGGGCTCCTAAACAGGGACAGGCAAGAGTGTCTCTGAGAGAGTACAGAGTGCCTTGTTTCCCTGTCCTCTTTTAAATGTCCGGCCTGGCAGCCCTTGATAAAATGATTTGCAACAGCCTCGTGAGATACCAGGTTAGACTGGGAGTGGAGTTCAGTCAGTGGCACCCAGCTAGCATCATTCCTGGAGGCAGGATTTGAATCCGGGTCTCCCAGGACAGATGATTTAACGCAATGCCGTCAGATAACCTGCACTATTCCAGCCTCTTAATCTAGAATCTCCACTTCCTCAAGGGTGCTTAAATCACCCCCTGTGCCTGTTTTCATGCAACGGTAAGTCCTAAAGAAGCCTTTGCCAGATGTGTTGGACTACAATTCCCATCAGCCATAGCCGCTGCAACTGATGGTCAGGGATGATGGGAGTTGTAGTCCAAAAAAATCTAGAGGGCACCAGGCTGCTGACCTAAACAAACCGCATTCAGCTGAGAACAAAACATTGCCACTTTTGTAGACTCTTATCTTCTCTTTATGTGGCAGATTATCAGAAGACTGATAACTCTGAGGGGAAGAGTCATAGCTCAGCGTTACAGCATCTGCCTTGTGTGCAAAAGCTTTTTCTACCCTGAGGGCCAGATCCCCTCCTGGGGGCCAAATGTCAGGTGGGCGGGGCCTGGGACAAAAGTGGGCGGAGCAATTGATGTGACTCCTCCCTTTGACTCATTCCAAAGCCCTTGCCAAGGGCCAGGCAGGGGTGGTCTGGAGAATGTTATGGGGGTCCGGCAATGATAATGGGAGGGCTTTATTTCCCCCTCCCTGCTTTGAAATTTCCTAGTTCCACTGTGCACCGTTAATCCTTGAAACTGAATTGCTGCTCCCTTTTTAAAAAACCCCTCTCTCCTTCTGAACATGGCAAGAATCAGGGCAGATAAAAGAAGGGGCTTATTCACATGTGAACTACGGAACTCCTTCCTGCAGGAGGCTCTGATGGACACCAGCTAAGATGGCTTTAGAAGATAAATTCAAAAGCTATCAACTTTCAGATTTGAAAATAAGGGATCAGCAGCCTTACCTGTCCCGGGGACAGTCTACGGGATATCTAACAATCCGGGATAGCAGCGAGAAGCAGCGGGAAACGGCACAGAAATAAGGGAAATTCCAGCAAAAAAAGGGAAGGTTGACAGCTATGGAGAAGAATTTGTGGCTACATGCCATGGATCATGGGACCCGGGGGCGCTGTGGGTTAAACCACAGAGCCTAGGACTTGCCGATCAGAAGGTTGGCGGTTCGAATCCCCGCGACGGGGTGAGCTCCCGTTGCTCGGTCCCTGCTCCTGCCCACCTAGCAGTTCAAAAGCACGTCAAAGTGCAAGTAGATAAATAGGTACCGCTCCGGCAGGAAGGTAAACGGCATTTCCGTGCGCTGCTCTGGTTTTCCAGAAGCGGCTTAGACATGCTGGCCACATGACCCGGAAGCTGTACGCCGGCTCCCTCGGCCAATAAAGCGAGATGAGCGCCGCAACCCCAGAGTCAGTCACGACTGGAACTAATAGTCAGGGGTCCCTTTACCTTTACCTATACGGCGTTTAAAACCAGAATTGCATTTGGGTAGAAACTGTTTCTCAGGCGGCTAGTCCTAGTCTTTATAACCCTGTACCTTCTTCCAGAAGGCAGAAGCTGAAAGAGATCATTTCTGGGGTGCGCACTATCCTGCGCTATCTCTGCAGCTTTCTTATGGCCCCTGGAAGCGTAGATTTGATCCAAGGTGGGAAGAGTGCACCCAATTATTCTCCGCAGTTTTTACAGCCCTGGACAGCATTGTTTTTTCCCTGACCGTGCAGCTCCCAAACCACACACACAGACCATAAGTTAATACACTTTCCACAGTACAATGGTAAAATGTGATCAACAGGTCCTTTGAGAGATTGTTTTTCCAGAGGGTTCTCAGAAAATATAACTTCTGCTGTGCTCTCTTCATCAGGTCTTTGCTGTTTTCTCCCCAGGTTAGGTCATCTCTCAACTCCATTCCCAGAAATCGAAACACGAGACCTGTTCCACGCACTTCCCCTCAATAATAAGTGGCCGAATATTCAATTTACATTTCCTAAAGTCCACAATAATCTCTTTTGTTTTCTTTAAGTGAAGGAGTAAGTTGTTTTTCCTGCACCACTCCCCCAACTGCTCAACTTCCTTCCTATAGGACGCCTCCCCCTCTCCAGCCGTGATTAAACCAACCACCGTTGTATTATCTGCGAACTTAATGATCTTATTACTGGGGTATTTGAGGGCACAGTCAGCTGTATAGAGCGTATATAAAAGCGAGCTCAACTCGCACCCCTGCGGCGTCCCCGTATTCGTGATGAGATCTGCAGAGACCTGGGAACCCAACCTGACCCTTTGGGAACGGTTTTGATAGAAAATCTAATATCCACCTGCACAAACACGGTGGAAGTCCCAGGTCTAATAATTTGGGCACCAATCTATGCGGAAGAATAGTATTAAATGCAGTACTCTAGTACAGTGGTACCTCAGGTTACGTACGCTTCAGGTTACATACGCTTCAGGTTACAGACTCCGCTAACTCAGAAATAGTGCTTCAGGTTAAGAACTTTGCTTCAGGATGAGAACAGAAATCGGGCTCTGGCGGCGTGGCAGCAGCAGGAGGCCCCATTAGCTAAAGTGGAGCTTCAGGTTAAGAACAGTTTCAGGTTAAGAACGGATCTCCGGAACGAATTAAGTACTTAACCTGAGGTACCACTGTACTCTCATCCTGCTCTGTGTGGGCCAGGATACCGGACTGGATGGGCCAGGGGCCTGATCCTTTCAGGCCTCTTCCAATGTTATTCTAAGCGCCTTCCTCCTCCTCCTCTCCTAGCTTCCGCCACTTTTGAGGACTTCCGGATCCGACCACACGCCCTCAACGTGCACTCCTATCGCGCGCCGGCTTTCTGCGACCACTGCGGCGAAATGCTGTTCGGATTGGTACGCCAGGGTCTCAAGTGTGATGGTAAGGCTCCCTCTTTGATTTGATTTTTTTTTTTGCGGGAAGGTGGAGGGTTTTTGGTTTGCCAAGACCTGGCTTGGCATTTCCTCCCAAGGCATAAAGACTGATTTGGATCAATTGCCCATTTTGTCCCTGAAGACCTCTCCCCTGGGGGTGGGGAACATCTGTGTCCTCCCCAGATGTTGCTGGACTCCAGTTCCCATCAGACTCAGCCAGTTTGGCCGATGCCTAGGGTGATGTCATGGGCGTTGCCAAGAGGGGGCAGGAGGGACAGCTGCCCCCCATAGATCAAGCAAAACAATAGAAATACGTACCGTATTTTTCACCCTATAAGACGCACATTTCTCCTCCTGAAAAGTAAGGGGAAATGTGTGTGCGTCTTATGGAGCGAATGAAGGTGGGAGGCTCTGCTCAGCGCTTCCTTTAAAGAATATTCTTTTCATTGCATTTTCCCCTCTAAAAACTAGGTGCGTCTTATGGTCAGGTGCATCTTATGGAGCGAAAAATATGATAACTAACGGACCAATCATGTCGGTTTTGCCCCCCCCAACAAAAATCCTGGCTATGTCCTTGGATGATGGGATTTGGAGTCACGGGCTCCCTCAAGAGTAATACACGTGCTGTTTTCTATTTTTTTGTCTCACTGCAAGAAAACTCTGCATTAAATTGTGGAAACTGAGCCACAGTTTGCTTACTTACCTCACAAAATATCTGCTTTTTTACCTCGCATATTCTACTCTGCTTTTGCTAGGTGTTAGAGAGGAAGGCAAGGCAAGACTTTTCCCCCAATGGCCGGGAGCCTTCTCTTATTTGGGTGCCCTGTCAGACGCCCAGCGATTTTCTTGCCGACACATTTTCAAGGGTATCATGAGGTCTAGAAACATCCTTTAAAAAAAAAGGACAGCTGAGAATCTCCGCTACCCAAAGAAAAGGAAATAAAATATTTGGTACCTGTAGAAAAATGATATATCGGGGAGAAGAGGATGGGGAACACCCTCTCCTTGAAATATTAGGTTTGTTTTGCCCCCTGTTAAGTGTGCCCCCTCCTGCCATCCCTAGTGGCGCAGTCCAGACGCAGCCTGGCCACTTCGCCTGCTGTTTGGGAGCAGCGGCCCGGAGCGTTCCAGTCTCCCACGCAGGGGCCGCTGCCCTTGGGCTCTTGCTGTTGACCTCCAAAGCCACGTGAGCCTTTGAGCCACATGCTCTCGCTCTGCACCTGCCCCCGGGCCCTGGCAGGACACGAAGCATCGGGCTTTTAGGCCATTACTGTGCTTAATGCTTAATCGAAGGCGGAAAACCTCGCCCTCCTCTCCCACCAGCCCCTTCCACTGCTCGCTTCCCACGCGGTTTGAAAAGCGTTTGGGAACGCAGGGAGATGCCTTTATACTGAGTCACCTACTTCAGTCGTTCCTACGCTGGCTGGCAGCAGCTCCCCAGGGATTTCACGCAGGGGGGTTCTCTCCAGGCCTACCTCTCCGGGGATCAAACCTGCAATAATAATAATAATAATAATAATAATAATAATAATAATAATAAAAAAAAAATTTTTTTTATATCCCGTCCTCCCCAGCCAAGGCCGGGCTCAGAGCGGCTAACAACAGTAAAACGATAAAACATTCTAAAATCATTTCATTATAAAATTAATTCCAATCAAATTAATGGCAACCATTGGGCTAGAAGTTCTGTGAGGATTGCCAAAGGAGGGGGTCAGGCTGTGCCCTGGCCAAAGGCCTGGTGGAACAGCTCTGTCTTGCAGGCCCTGCAGAAAGATGTCAAGTCCCGCAGGGCCCTAGTCTCTTGTGACCGAGCGTTCCACCAGATCGGGGCCACAGCCGAAAAAGCCCTGGCTCTGGTTGAGGCCAGCCTAACCTCCCTGTGGCCCAGGACCTCCAAGATGTTTTTGTTTGAAGACCATAAGGTCCTCAGTGGGACATACCAGGAGAGGCGGTCCCGTAGGTACGAGGGTCCTAGGCCGTATAGGGCTTTAAAGGTTAAAACCAGCACCTTAAACCTGATCCTGTACTCCACCGGGAGCCAGTGCAGCTGGTATAGCACCGGGTGAATGTGATCCCACGGCAAGCACCCCGTAAGGAGTCTCGCCGCGGCATTCTGCACCCGCTGGAGTTTCTGGGTCAGTCTCAAGGGCAGCCCCACGTAGAGCGAGTTACAATAATCCAGTCTGGAGGTGACCGTCGCATGGATCACAGTGGCTAGGTCAGGGCGAGAGAGGTAAGGAGCCAACTGCTTAGCTTGGCGGAGATTAAGAAATGCCGCCTTTGTTATAGCTGCAATCTACGCCTCCATGGAAAGGGAGGTGTCGAAGATTACACCCAAACTCTTAACGGATGGCGCCGGCACTAATTTCGCCCCCGCAAGAGATGGGAGTTGCCCCCCCAATCCCATATCGTCCCGACCCAGCCAAAGGACTTCTGTCTTCGAAGGAGACATCCTGCCCCGAGCCTTTCCCCGCATCCGAACATAGAAAGCTGGTCCATCTGGATCAGTATTGTCTACACTGACTGGCAGCAGCTCTCTGGGATTTTCAGGAGCCTGCCCCAGCCCTGGAGGTGCCAGGGTTGGAACCAAGGGCCGCTGCCAGTCAGTGTAGGGAATAGTGAGCTAGATAGCCCCCAATTCCTCCTCTCTCGGTTATCAGAATAACTAAATTGTTGGTGTTTGTACCCCGCGCATCTGACTGGGGTCGCTCCAGCTACTCTGGGCAGCTTCCAGCATAATATAAAAACACAACAAGGCTTTAAACATTAACAACAGATTGCGCTAGTAGGATTGCAAGAAGTTTTGTAAGGAGGACTATGTGAAATATTGCAGAGAAAAGTATGAAGAGAACTATTAGTGAAGGACTAGTAAAAGTAATAAACAACTAAACAACAACATTAAAAGTAATAGTGAAATTAATGAAATGCAGATTAAGTGATAAAGATTGAAAAATCTTCAGATGTGCTTGATGGAAGTCCAAAACACTGAATAAGATGAGAAAATGTGTTGTATGGTTTGTTTGTTTTTCAAATTTCATGTAAAAATTAATAAAAATACATTTTTTTTAAAAGACTTCAAACATTAAAAACCTCCCTACACATGGTGACCTTCCAAAATTTGTATAGTTATTTATGTCCTTGACGTCGGATGGGAGGGCGTTCCACAGGGCGGGCGCCGCCACCGAGAAGGCCTGGTTCCCTGTAACTTCACTTCTCGCAGTGAGGGAACCGCCAGAAGGCCCTCGGAGCTGGACCTCAGTGTCCGGGCAGAACAATGGGGGTGGAGACGCTCCTTCAGGTATACAGGACCGAGGCCGTTTAGGGCTTTAAAGGTCAACACCAACACTTTGAATTGTGCTCGGAAACGTACTGGGAAGCCAATGCAGATCTCTCAGGACCGGTGTTATATGGTGTCAGCGGCCACTCCCAGTCACCAGTCTAGCTGCCGCATTCTGGATTTGTTGTAGTTTCCGAGTCACCTTCAAAGGTGACCCCACTGGAGTATAAAACTATACTCGGGTTAAGTACTTAATTCGTTCTGGAGGTCTGTTCTTAACCTGAAACTGTTCTTAACCTGAAGCACCACTTTAGCTAAGTGTATGTAACCTGAAGCGTATGCATCCCGAGGTACCACTGCACATAAAATTTCAATTATATCAGCATTTAATTCTTCTTTAATGATAGTCCCTGTGTCCCATGTTTCTAGCTGTTCTTATTTTCTTTATCTGTAAGCCACCTTGAGTCCCTTGTCAGGGAAAAAGGCAGGGTGTAAACAAATACATAATAAAAAGAATAATTGATGATAATGGGCTTAAGGCGGCTTCCTCTCTCCTGTGCTGTTTCTGCTGCCAACCTTGTGACCCAGCCATTTTTGACGTTCCTAATCTTCCTCCCAGGCTGCGGGCTGAACTACCACAAGCGCTGTGCCTTCAGCATCCCCAACAACTGCAGCGGAGCCCGGAAGCGCCGCCTCTCCTCCACCTCCTTGGCCAACTCTCAGTCCCTGCGCCTCTCCATCACGGACTCCTTGCCCTCCAGCTCTGAAGATCTGGTGAGTGCATATGCGCCCCCTGCTGGCTGGGAGTGGGTCTGCCCTGCCCGCCTCCCCACCTGGTTCTGGGGCGAACTTGCCTTGCCATAGCTGTCAACCGTCCCTTATTTGGCAGGAAAATCCCTTATCCCAGTGCCGTGTCCCGCTGCTGTCCCTTAAATTTCCCGGGTTTCAAAGGAAGCAGCTCCTCTCCCTCCCTCCCTGCCGGCCAGGGAGGAGGGAGGCTCCAACTGTGTTGCTTGGCTGTGTTGCTCATCCAATAAGGAGTCTAAGAACGACTGGGTGGTGGAGCTTGCATGCCTTGTGCCGATCAAATTGGCTGCGTTGCCTGGGGACACGCCTTTGCTCAGCGCTTCCCAGCGGAGAGGTGACGGTGGTTTTCCTTGCTGCATCCCCTTTGCCGGGTTGCTGCGCTGTGGGAGCCACCGCTTGAGGCTTCGTTTGGCTGCTGGCTGGGCTTTCTGCCTTTGGCTCGGAGGGGCTCAGAAGTCAAACATACCTGTGCTCTGAAAATCCATTATTTTGGCTGCTGATCCCTTATTTCTGAGGCCGATAAGAAGGTTGGCAGTTCGAATCCCCGCGACAGGGTGAGCTCCTGTTGCTCAGTCCCTGCTCCTGGGGTGAACAGTGTTTCTGCGCGCTGCTCTGGTTCGCCAGAAGCGGCTTAGTCATGTTGGCCACATGACCCGGAAGTTGTACGCCGACTCCCTCGGCCAATAAAGCGAGATGAGTGCCACAACCCCAGAGTCGGTCACAACTTGACCTAATGGTCAGGGGTCCCTTTACCTTTACCTTGGTTTACAAACTTAATCCGTTCTGGAAGTCCGTTCTTAAACCAAAGTGTTCTTAAACCAAGGTGTGCTTTCCCAAAGCAGCGGGGGACTCAATTTACAGATGCAACACACTCAATGTGTTCTGCTTCCAAGGCAAAGTTCATAAACCAAAACACCTACTTCTGGGTTTGCAGCGTTCTTAATCCAAGTTGTTCATAAACTAAGCTATTTTAAACCAAGGTACCACTGTACTATGACGACGACTTGAAACAACATTAAAAACAGTTTAAAGCAAAGCACATGGCTGTGGTGCGATGGATCAGTGCGAGTGGTTATTTAATCAGAAGGTTGGTGGTTCGAGCCCACCCAAGGATGGCATTGCAGGGGGTTGGAATAGATGACTTTTGGGGGTCCCTTCCCTGAATTGTACAGGCTTTTTTCTCCTCTCCTTCACCCCACGCCACTGCTGCTTACTTGCTTAAAACAGAAGCGTGGAGCTACTTCAAAGAGCGCTTTTGCAAAGGGCTTTAACCTCCATGCTCATCAGCTGATGAGTGGAGATTAAATCTTGCCTTGGCTGCACAATCCTATTCCCTACTGAGAACAGGGCACTCAGTGAATCGGGTGGGTCCCAAACATAATGCCTCAGGGGAGAGATGGTGTTTTTCTATGCCCTGGGGGTTTGCTCACAGCTGATCCTTCTCCCTCCGGCTCCCCTTTCACCTCCTCACAGACCCGGAGCCTGATAGAGACCTTCCCCCGCCGGCTGACTTCCTCCACCTACATTGGCCGCCCCATTGAGCTAGACAAGCTCTTCCTCTCCAAGGTCAAAGTGCCCCACACCTTCCTCATCCACTCCTACACCCGGCCCACCGTCTGCCAGTACTGCAAGAAGCTCCTCAAAGGCCTCTTCCGCCAGGGCCTCCAATGCAAAGGTGAGGAGGGGGGGATGGGACGCCAAGGGAGGGCTCTGGGCCTCCCATCTGCCTTGTGTTGGAGATCTTCAGCTGTGGTTCTTCAGGACTTGTTGGACTGCAGCAATAAAACTTCCAGCATGTTTGCAAAGCTAAGCAGGGTCCGGTATTTTTCCAAATTGGGTGGGAGACTGCACCTTGATATTCCTGCATTGCAGGGGGTTGGACTAGATGACCCTTGGGTCCCTTTTATGATTCTTTGACTACAACTCCCACCATCCCCAGCCAGCTTTGCCCCATGTTCAGGGATTATGGGAGTTGTAGTCCAGTAACACCAAGGCAGGACATTTGCATTTCCTTTATTCCAAGTCTGGCCATTGGTCCATTTAGACCAGTATCCTTTGCTCTGCTTGGTAGAGGCTTAGTTCTAGGTTCCAGTTGAAACTTTTTAACCTGCTGCTGATCTTCCACCCCGCCTTGCCTCCTGCCCCAACTTCTTCCAGATTGCAAGTTCAACTGCCACAAACGTTGCGCGACTCGGGTGCCTAATGACTGCCTGGGGGAGACGCTGTTTAATGGCGGAGGTGAGTGACGGCCGCTGTTCTCGTTGCGTGGAGGTGGCTGGAGGGGAGGGACCTGGTTTTAACTCTTGAGATGGGTGTGATTTAGCTTAGGACCCACCATTTCAACGTGTGTAGATCATCTGGGTAAGGCTTCTGTTTGAGCCTCCAGAAGCTGAAACAGAAAGGTTGGGTTGGCTCAAAGCTCTTTGCAAAAGTACTCTTTGAAGAAGTTCTTTGTAGCCAAGGAGGCAAAGAGACGAGAAGGAAACCCTGAATTGTACAAGCTTCTTTCTCCTCTCCTTCACCTCGCGCCACTGCTGCTTACTTGCTTAAAGCAGAAGCGTGGAGCTACTTCAAAGAGCGCTTTTGCAAAGGGCTTTAACCTCCATGCTCATCAGCTGATGAGTGGGGATTAAATCTTGCCTTGGTTGCACAATCCTGTTCCCCACTGAAAACAGGATTGTAATTAATGAATGAATTAATTATAGTAACAACCATCGTGTCTTCTCGCCCATCATCTGTCATCATCAGTGATGCCGGCTGATTGACAGGTGGGTGTGCCTTGAGGGGGAATAGCCTTGTGGGCCAAATTGAACTCCCAGGCATGGCAAGATTGGCCCAACGGCCGGGTGCTCCCTACCCCTGGTCTACCCTGGCTGGCAACAGCTCTTTAGAGTGTCAGTCTGGAGTTTCTCCCAGCCCTACCTGGAATTGAACCCGGAACCTTCTGCACGCAAAGCCAGATGCGCTACTAGTGAGCTACGGCCTTGCCCCAACGATTGGAGAAGTCTTGGATATATTTTATTCCTCTCCTATGACCCTCCCAGATGTGCAGATGGAAGAAGCCAGCGACCTCAGTGAGGCCGACAAGAACTCGCTCATGGATGAATCGGACGACTCTGGGATCATCCCCGGCTCCCATTCAGAGAACGAGATGAGGATGGGCGAGGACTCTGACGACAGCAAGTCCCGGGGGTGAGGAAGGGCCAGCCCTGAAGCCACAGCTTCGTTTTCTTTCCTTAGGTCCTGTATGGGGTTTCCCTTCACGGCTGGATCCACCTTTCACTCCCCTTACAGGAGCTGCAATGTTTGTTAACGTTCCGTTGCTACTGATCTGGCAATGAAAATGAATGGCTTTCATGGTCTAGATTTCTTCACTAGGCTGTAAGGCAAAGATAACTCGCAACCTCTCTTGAAAAGGTTTCGCGGTTTCCCCGTCCACCTCTCCCATGATTTCATTACACTTTCCTTTTTTTCCTTCAAAAGGAAAATTTTTCTAGCACAACCTCTGTCCTCTACCAGTGTTAAGACTACAATTCCTACAAGAACAGGCTGGGGGTGATGGGAATTGTAGTCTTAAACCTTTGGCATGGCAATTTCTGCCCTGGCGTTCCCAAGAATCCCATTTTTTCTAGTATTTTATTTGTTCATGTCGTGTTATAAAAATAGCTATTGAGGCTCGGTCCTAGAGTCCCCCTTTTCCTCTACGCTCATGCTGCCGGTGGCACCAGAGGGCTGTGTTGACTTAAGACTCGGAGACCTGGGTTTGAATCCCTCACATAGCCGCCAAACTCACTAGGTGACTGTGAAGCTGTCACCAATTCTCAGCTTAACACTACCTTACAGGGTTGTGGGGAAGATAAACTGTGGTGGGGCAAATCTCACACATGCCACCCAAACCAAGGGAAGCTCAACAGGGTGACTGTGGGCTTGTCACCATTTCCTAGGCTAGCTTACCTCACAGGTTTGTTAGGAAGACAAAATTGATCATTTGGTCAGGGAGAAGACCAAGAATAAAACATAAAGTCTTAATAGATACTAAAGAAAGGGGAGGCGCTTTGGTCTCCCCGACTTAAAATTATACTATGAGGCTGCTTGTTTCTCATGGATGAGGGACTGGTTCCTTTTAAGCAATACGGATGTACTAGATATAGAAGGGCATGACATCCGATACGGGTGGCATGCGTACTTAAATTATGATAAATATAGAGTACATAAGAGTTTTACATAAGAACATATATATAGAGTACATAAGAGTTTTACATAAGAACATATATATAGAGTACATAAGAGTTGGAAATTATATTATAATATGCCCTGTAATGTAATATGATAATGTATACATATGTGACATAAGAATGTTAATTAAAAAAAAAGAAGAAGAAGAAGACAAATTGGGGCTGGGGGAAAATTCACGGTATGAAGGGCAGGATAAAAAATTTGAGGAACAGTCATTATCTCCCGATCCTCGCCTGCCGCTTTCATGGCATAGCTTTAGGCTCCAGGCAAAAATGTTTTTCTTCATTCAGGTGTGTTTATTATCTTGTATTTTTATGTTGCGGGCCTCCTTGCGGTTTACGGATGAAGGGCGGTATACAAATTCAGTTAAAAGAAAAAGTTCTATTGTCTTTTAACTGTGGGTGGGAGGGAGGAGTTACTGTTTTGCTTTTGCTTGTATTTTTGTTTTATTGTGTTTTCATTTTGCATTTTTGCCTTGTGAACTGCCCTGTGGTCTTCAGACGAAAGGCGGAATTGTTTAAAAAATCCCAGGGGGCTTCCCATGAGCACACACACCCAGTTTTAGTTGCATCTGTTGTGGCTCTCTTCCCCCTCCCAGCACTTTCAGACCCACCAAATTTAAAGCGCACCTCCTGCCTCTTCTTCCAGATCCATGGGCTACATCCCCCTGATGCGAGTGGTCCAGTCGGTGCGGCAAACGACCCGCAAGTCCAGCACGGCTCTGAAGGAAGGCTGGGTGGTTCACTTCAGCAACAAGGACACCCTGGTGAGTTGGAGGTGTGGGGAGAGTGGGGAGAGACTGGGGTGGGTGGGCATTGAGGCTGGGCCTCTGGAACAAACCCCAGCCTCTGAGTACCACGTGGAAATGAAGGCTGCGGCTCAGTTTTATTTCATAGCACCATCAGTCATACGCTTGCTTGTGCTTACCCTCGCTCCTCCAGCAAAATGCAGGTTTTGTAAGCTCCTTGGGGCATGGGCCTTTCTATTATTCAGAGCTCTCTTGCTCTCTCGCTTGCTGCTTCTAGCGATGGAGCAATGCAAGCAAGAAGAGTTGGCACCTTCCTTTCTTGCCTATTGCTCTGATCTTGATTATTATTATTTTTTTATTAATAATATTTATTACTTTTACAAGCTCTGATCTTGATTATTGTTTGTTATTTATTTCTTGCCCCCACCTTCATCCGAAAAAGATCCCTGAGTGGCTTACACAGAGTCAACCAAGATAAATCCCCACCTGCAGGCTTACAATCTTTAAAAAAAAAAAAAAAGACACGGCACGCAAGGAAAAAGGGACAGGGAGGGAAGAGGAAGATCAAAATCGAGACTCGGGTACCGATTTCTAAACAGCTGTTCCTATAATCACCAGTTGGCATAGTTCAGGGTAAGGAGGTTACTGATGGAGCTGAGCTAAGAGAAAAGATAAAACTTTATTCACATTAGCCAATGGCCACAGCAACAGTAAAACATTACAGTATACGCAGAAAAGGAAGTTTGATATAAGAGCACAATTTAAAGTCCTGAATCAGCCGTCAGTTAGTGGCCCTTAATTCTGATTGCCCCTGCTATGAACCTAGCAACCTTTGCTGTTATCTGCTCATTTTGATCTGATAGAAGGACATTGTGGCAGTGGTTGAGCGCCCTGGGATGGTTAGGACGAGTGGGGTGGTGATCACGTTCCTCAGGTCTTTGTAGAGAGTACAGGACAGGAGGACGTGTGCCGCTGTTTCGGTGCTACCGTCTCCACAGGGGCAAAGACGTTTCTCAGGCGGGATCTTTTGGATTTGACCCTCAAGTGCCGCAGATGGCAAAACATCCAGTCTTGCAAGTGTAAAAGCACGTCTGTATTTTGGGATAACAAGTTTGTGCAGATATGGGGCCAGAGAATCAAAATGGAAAGGTGGAAAATGAGCATACCAAGGGCAGAATTTCCTTATAGTGGGCAGGTTGTTCTGATGCTCCATATCTTTCAGACGTTGACCAATTAGACTGTTTGCTTTAGTAGGGCCCATAGTGAGTAGGTGTTGTGGGGATAGGCCACAAGGGTAAAGTTTTTGATAGACGGTTTTAAGCCAGGCACTTGAAGTACTAGGGATAGCTGAGCTTTTGGACGAGCCGATGAAGTGAGCCCTGCTGTATAACCCACATTTCCTCTTGGATGCTCTAGGGGGCAGTACCTAGAATTTTATTAAAATGCAATGCAATGAAACCTAAAATAAAACAGCAGGCATCCTAAAATGGCCGCCTAGCAGCACAGAAACCAATTATTTCATGGAACTTTGAAGTGTCAGGCATAGCCCTATTGGCTTTAGCCCAAACGTAGCAGAGTTTTCCTGCACAGCGAGGAAGCTAGTTGCGGCGGTAATGACTAGTCAGCTAGACTCAGAATAACTATTTACAGGATTTATTAAAAAAGAAAAAATAAAACCAGCAGAGTTTCTGCATACAAAACAAAGCAAAATAAATCCTTTCTTTCTCTCTCTCTCTCTTAACCATACACAGCACTTCTACTCCTAACACACCTCACACCAAACTGTGCTAGCATTCCTAGATAACAGAGTTGAGTGCTGGTCGTTAACCAATCAGAGTAAGTAGTTTCTAGGTCAAGCAGACCTGGGCTTTCTGCCAAGAGTAAATTGACACTGCCTTGAGTTAATTGTGCGAAGCCAGAATCTGCAAGTTTCCCACGAGAACCAATTAACAGAAACTGAACATTATTCACCTCCGTAGACCTGCGAGGGAAAAGACAACATTCCATCTTGACGTCACGGATCTGTGAACATGGTGGGGGACAACTGTGTCTCGAATGGGAGGGACTCCTACGTCCGGGGTGCCACCTCAGAGAAGGCCCCGCTCCATGCTGTTCCACAGCAGACCTTAGGTTCTGTTGAAGCTGCAAACAGAGCCCCTCCTGCAGCTCTTAGCATGTTGGGCGGCAGATAACCGGATGGCGCATGTCAATGTATGGAATTAATGCTCTGCGTGTGAAAGTATGCGTGTGAAAGTCTTGCATTGGGCCCTCAAGGTGCTTTTAATGCCTCCTTCAACCCCTGGAATGCCACAACCTGTAAAAACACTCATTTTCTCTCTCCCCATTCCTGCAGCGGAAACGCCATTACTGGCGACTCGACAGCAAATGCCTCACTCTCTTCCAAAACAACACCAGCAGTCGCTACTACAAGGTAACTCGGCCATCCCCTAATATTCAGGGTCCCCAGTGTGGATGAGGATGGGGAAGCTGGAGTGGGGGGTGGGATTTATGGGCAGCAACTGCCCTCTTGCAAATATTTTCTGAAGCTGAGCCAAATGTCCTAAGGGGGAAGAAAGAACTCTGCCTGCAAGGAAGGCTCCGGGGTGGGGGGCAAAGGTTTGATTGATCCACAGCTGTGGGGCTCTTGGGAGTTATAGTTCCAAACATCTGGAGGGCACCAGGTTGGCAAAGGCTCCCCACCTCTTCTTTGCTCCTCCTTTGCAGTCTGAGACAATAGCGCAGTTGCAAATTCAGAAATTTGCATGATAGTCACACCTGCTCACAGCCGTGCCTCTTCTAAGATTATGTGATAATCTTATAATTATGCAATTATAGTTAGGGAGGCATTGCAGCGATCGATGCAGCTCTCCCAAGCTGTGTCTTCCAACCAGATCTGCTATTTTCTGTGCATTTACATGGGCAGACGATTAGGAGTGCTCCAATATCTTCTTTTGGAGTGGCTTGAGTTGTGTTTTCCATTGCACATAGAAATCATAGAATGAAGAGTTGGAAGGGACCATGAGGGTCATCTAGTCCAACCCCCTGCAATGCAGTTTTGTTTTGTTTTTGGCCCGGTGTGGGGCTCAAACCCATAACCTTCAGATTAAGAGTCTCATGCTCTACTGAATGAGCTATCCTGGAGCCACATAACAGAACGTGCACCGTTCTCCTGAAACCGGAGCGCCTTGTTTTTTCATTGCTCCTAAATGCTTAGCTTTGGAGCCCACCGTGGCTAAAAACCTCCCCTTTCACGCTCTAGGGGTGCTCGAGACAGGGACCCCACAGCAGAAATAGTTGTGGGTCTTTGTCCCCCTCCTCTGTGACCCCGGACCATGACACCACTGGCCCTAGATCGCAGCCAAGATGGCATCCCCTGCCGCTGACCAACAGATGCGCTGGAGTGAAAGCAGGAGACTTTGCCCTTGCTCTGGCTTGGCTTAATGACTACATCACTTAGCGCAGCCTTTCTCCACCTGTGGGTCCCCAGATGTTGCTGAACTACAACTCCCATCACCCCTGGCTAGCAAGGCCAGAGCTCAGGGATGATGGGAGTTGTAGTCCAACAGCACCTGGGGACCCACAGGTTGAGAACCGCTGACTTAGCATCAGATGGGATGCGTGGTGTTCTCATGAAATCAGCTTAGGGCGAGGAAACCGTGAAAGAAGATTGCAGTATTTGGGACTTCCTAGTTTAGAGAAAAGGGATGCGGGTGGCGCTGTGGGTTAAACCACAGAGCCTAGGACTTGCCGATCAGAAGGTCGGCGGTTTCGAATCCCCACGACGGGGTGAGCTCCCGTTGCTCGGTCCCTGCTCCTGCCAACCTAGCAGTTCAAAAGCACATCAAAGTGCAAGTAGATAAATAGGTACCGCTCTGGCGGGAAGGTAAACGGCGTTTCCGTGCGCTGCTCTGGTTCGCCAGAAGCGGCTTAGTCATGCTGGCCACATGACCCGGAAGCTGTACGCCGGCTCTCTCGGCCTATAGAGCGAGATGAGCGCTGCAACCCCAGAGTCAGTCACGACTGGACCTAATGGTCAGGGGTCCCTTTACCTTTAGTTTAGAGAAAAGGCGAGAAAGAGGCAACATGATAGAAGTTCATCACATTATGCCTGGCATGGAGAACGCCATCTGAACGCCAGTTGCTGGAAATGCCAAGGGGGAGAGTTGTTGGTCTTCCCTGATTGCCATGAGATCAGGGGCTGAGCAATGAAGGCTGATTTCCATTTCCTTTTCCTGTAGGAGATTCCGCTCTCGGAGATCTTGGCCGTGGGTCCGGCCCAGGACTTCTCCCTGCTGCCTTCGGGCGCCAACCCTCACTGCTTTGAAATCATCACGGCCAAAGCCACCTACTACGTGGGGGAAAGCGGCGCCCCCAGCAACCACCAGCATGCCGGGGACAGCCTGGAGAACGCCAGGACGTGGGAGAACGCCATCCGGCAGGCCCTCATGCCGGTCGTCCTCCAAGGGGCTCCGAGCGCCCAAGGAGAGGCGCCCCACAGTGAGTGTCTGTCCTGGACTGGTGGGACGCAGAGGAATGCTGGGAGGCGCCACCTGGGGGACCCCCGAGGGAAGAAGGCTCAGCGCCCAGGGGAGAGTGGTGGTGGGATGACGATGAGAGGGAGCGGACTGGGAGGAGGAGGTGTCAGAAGCTGGAGTGGTAACAGGATTTAGTGAGCAGGAAGAGTCGGTGGCAGAGAGCAGTTCAGAATTGGAGGCAGATGCAGAAGCTGGAGAGGAGGGAGGCCGAAAGGCAGAGATAGGCTGGTGAAGGGGCCAGGGGTCTCCCTTCCCTGCTTCAACCAGCTCCCCTCCCTGCTGGTCTCCCAGAACCCAAAGAGGTATGAAGAGGCAGATCAAAGACAGTCAAGATGGTGGTGCCTCAGATTGTTTGGGAAGCTATCAGGGTAGGAGGAACTTTAGGGTGCTGTGAACTTTAGGGTGAATGACCGTATTTTTTGCTCTATAGGACACACCCGACCATAAGACGCACCTAGTTTTAGAGGGGGAGAACAAGAAAAAAAAAATCTCCCCCTCTCTGCTCAGCGCCCCTTCAGTGAAGCGGCAGGAGAAATGGAGAGAGGGAAAGCTGCGCAGCGCCTCTCCAGTGAAGCGAAGCCAGGAGAGCAAGAGGGATTGGTGCGCACTGATCCTTCTTGCTCTCCTGGCTTCAGCGAAAGCAACGCGAAGCCATGGAGCCTGCATTCGCTCCATAAGACGCACACACATTTCCCCTTAATTTTTGGAGGGGGAAAAGTGTGTCTTATAGAGCGAAAAATACAGTAACTTCACCTACTCCATGTGATTTACTCGCTTCTGACAGTGTCCGACCCATGCCTACCCCCTCACACGCAGGAGTGGGGATCTTTAACCCCTCAGATGCCCGAATGCGCCCTTTCAAGCCTCACTCTCTGGCCCCAGTCCATGATATCTGGAGAGCCGCAGACAGTACTAGCCTAGGTGGGCCTTGTAGGGACACGGGTGGCGCTGCGGTCTAAACCACTGAGCTTGGGCTTGCCGATCAGAAGGTCGGTGGTTCGAATCCCAGCAACGGGGTGAGCTCCCGTTGCTCGGTCCCTGCTCCTGCCAACCTAGCAGTTCAAAAGCATGTCAAAGTGCAAGTAGATAAATAGGTACCACTGCAGCGGGAAGGTAAATGGCACTCTGACTTCCATCGTGGTGTCCCGTTGCGCCAGAAGTGGTTTAGTCATGCTGGCCACATGACCTGGAAAGCTGTCTGTCCCTCGGCCTGAAAGCGAGATGAGCGCTGCACCCCATAGTCGCCTTTGACTGGACTTAGCCGTCCAGGGGTCCATTATCCTTCTACCTTACCTAGGTGGGCCTTGTCCCCTGTACAGCATTGGCATGTGATGCATCAGGAGATGGGCTCAGCGCTGACTTCTGCCTTCCTCTTTCCAGGGCAAGCGTCATTACGAATCTCTGTGTCCAACAGCCAGATCCAGGAGAACGTGGTGAGTTCTGGGAGCACTGGGTCTCCGGGTCTCCTTGCCTGCTCCTTCTCCTTGCCTGCTCTTCACCCCTAACTTTGGTTTGGGGGGAGTCCCTCACCCACAAAGGTTGCTTTTTTAAAACAAAACACAATTCATTTGTACAACTGCAGGATATCGCCACCGTCTACCAGATCTTCCCGGATGAAGTTTTGGGCTCTGGGCAATTTGGCGTCGTCTACGGAGGTGAGTTAAGAGCTTGGCGAGACTCTCTTTCCAGATATGAGTCTACCTGGAGTGGTGATGCCATAACACCTCTCCACCTCTAGAGGACGCTGGTTGCTAATCTAGCCTGGCCTCTAAAGCAGGTTGGAGCAGATCCCACCGCTCTGGCCACCAGTTGTGGCGGATCCGACACTCTATAACCACCGCAGGTTATCTTCCTTTTTTTTTTTTTTGCATGAGGTAAAATTTTGATGCTTGGAGACTCAGGCAGAAGGTGAACCAATAAAAAAAAAGTTTTATTTGACGGAGCAAAGTTGGCAAAACAAATGATGTGTCAGGAAATCAAGTTCTTTTAGGAAACAGTTAACTAATTTATAATTATACTAAATCTACTGGCTAGATTCTAAACAAGGTAGTAAACGCACAGCTTCTTTTAAGCTTTGATTGCTTATTTTCAGTTGTTACTCTTCAGTCACATGTTGCCGGTTTCTAGATGGTAAATGCTCAGCTTATTTTGAGTTATTTCACTTCGGTTCCTTAACTCATAGGTGTTACAGCTTATTACTTTGGATCTTAAACAAGGTGGTACTTTCTGTCAATTTCCCAGTCTTCTACCAATCGGATCACCGCATTCGTTTTTTTCCATATGTATTCATACATTGTTTTCTTTTCCTCTGCACATTTTGGTACCTTTTTCTTTTCTTCTTTGTATCACTTTATTTCTTCATAACTGAAAAATGCTTGATAAAATATTCAAGCCAAGACCCGTCCTAACTAGAAGGAGACCCAAGGAGACTTTATCCTCACAGCTTCTACTTCTCCTTGTTCAAACTCAGCCCTCCAGTTCGCTCCTGTCTAAATGCCCTCGCAAGACACCAAACACTATCCTCCTATGTAAACTCAGAAATATTTTCCTCAGAGCGGATGTTCCACACACAGACCAGAACCAAACTCTCCTCTCCTTCCCGCTGTCTCATAAACCCTCTGAAAACTCCCTCAGAAACGGCTCCTTTTATTTTCCCTCCCAAAGTGCTGGCTCCACCCCCTTCTGACTCGCTGTCTTGGTAACCAATCAGAGAGAGGCTACAGCCCTCTGGTGGAATTTCAAGGTACTGCCACGACAGCAGCCAGGATTATTTGTGCTCATTAAAATGGAAATAAGATTCTGTACTTGGCAAGGAGGAACGGCAGACTAAATTAATGGATGGTGCCGAAATGGCAGAACTTACAGGAGCAATAAGGAACCAAGGGTGGGGTGGGGGGAACTTTTATAAAAGATGAGAGAAAAGTCATGGATTACCTGAAATGTCGTTGTATACCGGTACATAAAAGTTCTTTAGCAGGATTAAAAACGGTTCAAATTAATGTTAAAATATAACTAGGGAGTAATTATTAATTGGAGTAACAAAGGAGATGCATTGTTGTAAATTAAAAAATGTAAGAAACTGCAAAAGGAGGGGGAGAAGTTAAAATACATATATTTGTTGGGAAATACAGTGGTACCTCGGGTTAAGTACTTAATTCATTCCGGAGGTCCGTTCTTAACCTGAAACTGTTCTTAACCTGAAGCACCACTTTACCTAATGAGGCCTCCTGCTGCCGCCGTGCCACCGGAGCACGATTTCTGTTCTCATCCTGAAGCAAAGTTCTTAACCTGAAGCACTATTTCTGGGTTAGCGGAGTCTGTAACCTGAAGCGTCTGTAACCTGAAGCGTATGTAACCCGAGGCACCACTGTACTGGATAGTATTTATGTCAAAATATTTCTGAAAAATAAAACTAATATAGAAAAAGGAATTTCGAGGGACTGTGTGTATCACCAGACTATGGTCTAGCTCAGCTGTCCGTCACCCAGAGACAGCCAGGTGTTGTTGCTTCTCGGACTCCCAGTGTCATAGCCCATTGGGATGATGGGAGTTTTAGCCATCATTTCGTTTGAGGGGCGGCTGCTGCTGACCTAAACCCAACGGTTGGGCCGGTACCTTCTGCCTTCTGCCAGCCAGCAACAGCCCCTTCCTAAAATTTAGGCTTCCCTTCTTGACGCCCCCAGGGAAACACCGGAAGACGGGCCGGGACGTGGCGGTGAAAGTGATTGACAAGCTCCGCTTCCCCACCAAGCAGGAGAGCCAACTGCGCAACGAGGTCGCCATTTTGCAGGTGAGCGGGTGGCGGCGGCCATTTTGTGGGTGTTGTCGCGGGAGGGCTGGTGGGAAAAGGGGTCCCTTAGGTCCCTCTGAGCCTCATCTTGACACCTCACCTTGTCTCTCTTCTTCTCCCCCACCTCGCAGAGCCTGAGGCACGCCGGGATCGTGAACCTGGAGTGCATGTTCGAGACGCCGGAAAAAGTCTTTGTGGTGATGGAGAAGCTCCACGGAGACATGCTGGAAATGATCCTGTCTTCGGAAAAGGGCCGGCTGCCCGAGAGACTCACCAAATTCCTCATCACGCAGGTAAGGAACATGCCAGCTAGCCCTGGTGTCCAGAGGAGGGCAACCAAAATGGTCAAAGGCCTGGAAACGATGCCTTATGAGGAATGGCTAAGGGAGCTGGGCATGTTTAGCCTGGAGAAGAGGAGGTTAAGGGGTGATATGATAGCCATGTTCAAATATATAAAAGGAGGTCACATAGAGGAGGGAGAAAGGTTGTTTTCTGCTGCTCCAGAGAAGCGGACACGGAGCAATGGATCCAAACTACAAGAAAGAAGATTCCACCTAAACAATAGGAAGAACTTCCTGACAGTAAGAGCTGTTTGACAGTGGAATTTGCTGCCAAGGAGTGTGGTGGAGTCTCCTCCTTTGGAGGTCTTTAAGCAGAGGCTTGACAACCATATGTCAGGAGTGCTCTGATGGTGTTTCCTGCTTGGCAGGGGGTTGGACTCGATGGCCCTTGTGGTCTATTCCAACTCTATGATTCTAATATTTACTGGATGGATTTCCCCCCTAAATTGATTTTTGAATTCTAAATATTCATGCTTTATACTGTATTTTAAGCTGTTTTTTGTTGCATCAATTAAGTGTTTTAAATTGGCTGTTAGCCGCCCTGAGCCCTGTTTTCTGAACCGGGAAGGGCGGGGTATAAATAAAATTTTATTATGCTTATTATTAAACATACACCTTCCAAAGCCAGAGAAGGTGCAAGTCAACCAGTGCCCACCAGGTGGCAGCAGAGCCTTGCCTGAGGATGCGCTTCCCCTACAAATTCTGGGATTCGGAAAATCTAATATTTGCTAGCGATGCCTAAAGGGCAAAAGAGGAGCTTTGCCTGGGTCTCTGAAAGCAGGAGGTGTGACCAGCAGCAAACAGAGAGCAGCTTTCGGAAAACTGGCCCTCGCCGGAAATTTCAGACTACAACTCCCATCAGCGTCAGAGCGGATGGGAATTGTAGTCCAAAAACATCTGGCGGGAAGGCTGTTGTAACACATTGCAGTGAGCAAGAGACCCCCTGGGACCTCTGTGATAATTCATGTAATGCGATCTGTGGGAGGCTGATATGGGTAGAATCCTGACCGGCCAGGATTTGGGGGCTTTCTGCTCCTTGCCACCTTTTGCCACTCCTGTTTCCGTCTTTTCCGCTCAGATCCTGGTGGCTCTGCGGCATCTGCATTTCAAGAACATCGTGCATTGCGACTTGAAACCCGAGAACGTCCTTTTGGCTTCGGCCGAGCCGTTCCCTCAGGTAAGGCTTCCTCTTGCGTCTGAGAAAGAGCTGGATGCATCCCAAATGGCATTCGGGATTTTAGAACGGAACCGCTCAAAACTGAGAGACCCAGGCAGTTCCTTGCTGGTTTTCTTAAAGATTCGTTTAGGGCAGGGCTGGGTCCCCCATGGACCTCCAGATTTTTTTGCTAGATTGCAACTCCTATTATTATTATTATTATTATTATTATTATTATTATTGTTATTATTACAGTGGTGCCTTGCAAGACGAAAAGAATCCGTTCCGCGATTCTCTTCGTCTCTTTCGTCTTGCGAAGCAACCCTATTAGCGGCTAAGCGGATTAGCGCTATTAGCGGTTTAGCGGCTTAGCGGCTATTAAAGGCTTAGCGGCTTAGCTGCTAAAAGGCTATTAGCGGCTTAGCGGCTTAGAAAAAGGGGGGAAAGCGGGGAAAAAATCGCAAGACTAGCAAGACGTTTCGTCTTGCGAAGCAAGCCCATAGGGAAAATCGTCTTGTGAAGCAACTCAAAAACGGAAAACCCTTCCGTCTTGCGAGGCATTCGTCTTGCGGGGCACCACTTTATTATTTTGTGTGTGTGTAATAGTTAACAGGGACGCGAGTGGCGCTGTGGGTTAAACCACAGAGCCTAGGACTTGCCGATCAGAAGGTCGGCGGTTTGAATCCCCGTGACGAGGTGAGCACCTGTTGGTGGCCCCTGCTCCTGCCAACCTAGCAGTTCAAAAGCACGTCAAAGTGCAAGTAGATAAATCGGTACCGCTCTGGTGGGAAGGTGAACGGCGTTTCCGTGCGCTGCTCTGGTTCACCAGAAGCGGCTTAGTCATGCTGGGCACATGACCCGGAAGCTGTACGCCGCCTCCCTCGGCCAATAAAGCGAGATGAGCGCCACAACCCCAGAGTCGGCCACGCTCTGCACAGTGCTTCAGGTTAAGAACTTTGCTTCAGGATGAGAACAGAACTCGTGCTCCGGCGGTGCGGTGGCAGCGGGAGGCCCCATTAGCTAAAGTGGTGCTTCAGGTTAAGAACAGTTTCAGGTTAAGAACAGACCTCCGGAACGAATTAAGTACTTAACCTGAGGTACCACTGTAGAGGGAACGTACTTTCATATGTGGTGGACTTGTAAAAGGCTAAAAGGGTATTGGGAAATGATCCATAATGAATTGAAAAAACTGTTTAAAGCTGTTTAAAGCCAGAGTCCTTTCTGCTGGGGATAATTCAGACTGAAATTCCCAGGTGTCAAAAAAGGTTATTTATATATGCTACTACTGCGGCCCATGTTTTGTTAGCCCAAAAATAGAAAATGAGTGAAGAAGAACAATGGCAACTTAAGTCGACAGAATATGCACAACTCGCAGACTTAATCTATAGAATAAGAGAACAAGTAGAACATATGTTTAAAGAAGACTGGAAAACATTTATTGAACATATGGGAAATAATTGTGTATAGGTGAAAATGCTGGGAGCGTTAAGACAAATTCGACAGTGCAAACAAGTTTTGGTGGATGCAATAATGGAATACTGAATGGTATTGTTTTTGTAAAATCTGCAAGGATTTATGATATGTAAAATGAACCGTGGAAAGAGAAGAAGGGGAGTCATTTATATCTTAAGGATGTAAAATGAGTATTGTAAGACAGAAAAACTTAGAAGACAGGAGTGCCTGGCGTGCTCTGGTCCATGGGGTCACAAAGAGTCAGACACGACTAAACAACAACAACAACCACACACACACACACACACACACAATGTGAGCCACCCAAAAAACCACTACATATAAATATAAAAGAGCTATTAAAAACATGCAGATAATTACAATAGAAACAGCATAGCACCAGCCCGTTCATTAAAAGCATTCAGTTTCCAAAAGCCTGTTGTGATAAGAAAGTCTTCACCTGCTGACAAAAGGACAACAAGGAGGGAGCCAGTCTTAACTCCTCTAGGGAGGGAGTTCCAAAGTCTGGGAGCAGCCACCGAGAAGGCCCCGCCGTTATCCCTTTGTTGTTGTTGTTGATGATGTTGATTAAATTTGCATACTGTCCTTCATCTGAAGATCGCAGGGCGGTTCACAGCATAAAAATATACAGTGGTACCTCGGGTTACATACGCTTCAGGTTACATACGCTTCAGTTTACAGACTCCGCTAACCCAGAAATAGTGCTTCAGCTTAAGAACTTTGCTTCAGGATAGGAACAGAAATCGTGCTCCGGCAGCGCGGCGGCAGGAGGAGGCCCCATTAGCTAAAGTGGTACTTCAGGTTAAGAACAGTTTCAGGTTAAGAACGGACCTCCAGAACGAAATAAGTACTTAACCTGAGGTACCACTGTACGTTGGAATGTGTTTTGCCGCGTCGCATGGCGGCTTGTGGATCGTAATTTCCTTGCTTTACAATCCCGCAGGTGAAGCTGTGCGACTTTGGCTTTGCCCGCATCATTGGCGAGAAGTCCTTCCGCCGCTCGGTCGTGGGCACCCCGGCCTACCTGGCGCCCGAGGTCCTGCTGAACCAGGGCTACAACCGTTCTCTGGACATGTGGTCGGTGGGAGTCATCATGTACGTCAGCCTCAGCGGCACCTTCCCGTTCAACGAAGACGAGGACATTAACGACCAGATCCAGAACGCCGCCTTTATGTACCCAGCGAACCCCTGGCGCCAGATCTCAGTTGGTGGTAACTATCCAAAGGAGCTTGGTGGGATGGGGAGAGTCTGCCCTCGGAAATCAGCTGGCTTTCTGCTACAGTCATACCTCATGTTATGGACGCTTCAGGTTACGTGTTTTTGGGTTGCGGACCGCGGGAAACCCGGAAGTACTGGAACGGGTTACTTCCGGGTTTCGGCGCTTGCGCATGCGCATAATAATAATAATAATAATAATAATAATTACTATTAATACCCCGCCCATCTGGCTGGGCTTCCCCAGCCACTCTGGGCGGCTTCCCAAAAATAATAATAATACTGTAATACATCAAACATTAAAAGCTTCCCTAAACAGGGCTGCCTTCAGATGTCTTCTAAAAGTCTGGTAGTTGTTGTTCTCTTTGACATCTGGTGGGAGGGCGTTCCACAGGGCGGGTGCCACCATCGAGAAGGCCCTCTGCCTGGTTCCCTGTAACTTGACTTCTCGTAGCGAGGGAACCGCCAGAAGGCCCTCAGAGCTGGACCTCAGTGTCCGGGCAGAACGATGGGGGTGGAGACGCTCCTTCAGATATACTGGACCAAGGCTGTTTAGGGCTTTCAAGGTCAGCACCAACACTTTGAATTGTTCTTGGAAACGTACTGGGAGCCAATGTAGGTCTTTCAAGACCGGTGTTATGTGATCTCGGCGGCTGCTCTCAGTAACCAGTCTAGCTGCCGCGTTCTGGATTAGTTGTAGTTTCCGGGTGACCTTCAAAGGTAGCTCCACGTAGAGCGCATTGCAGTAGTCCAAGCGGGAGATAACCAGAGCATGCACCACTTTGGTGAGACAATCTGTGGGCAGGTAGGGTCTCAGCCTGCGTACCAGATGGAGCTGATAAACAGCTGCCCTGTACACAGAATTGACCGCCGCCTCCATGGCCAGCTGTGAGTCCAAAATGACTCCCAGGCTGCGCACTTGGTCCTTCAGGGGCACAGTTACCCCATTCAGAAGCGCTAAATCATGCCAGCGCAGACACGGTGCTTCAGGATGCGAACGCTGCAGGTTGTGGATGTGCCTCTATCACGGATTATGTCCGCAACGCGAGGTTCCACTGTACTTGGATTCCCGGCCGGATCCTGAAGGGTCTTCTTATATCATTTCCTTTCTCCCTTTCTTCCTGCCCAGCCATTGATCTGATCAACAACCTCCTCCAGGTGAAGATGAGGAAACGTTACAGCGTCGATAAATCGCTCAGCCACTCTTGGCTACAGGTATGCGGAGATGGGGTTGGAGTCCAGACTCACCATGGGCCCTGCTGGCTGGGGATGATGGGCTTTGTAGTCTTAGGCATCTGCAGGGAACTGATGCTCTTTGATTTCAGGGTCTGACATTCCTGTTGTTGCCATTGCTCTGGTTCCTTGTGGTTCCGCTTGTGGGTTTCCCTTTAGGGAATCTGCTTGGCCGCTGTGAAAACGGGATGCTGAACTTAGATGGTCCATAGTCCAGATCCTGCAGCCTCTCCTTATGTTCTTCGTCCTTCTTACATTCTTAATGTGAATTTCTCCTAATGTTTCCCCAAAGCAATTTTGCGCTAACAGGAAGCAATTTTGTCCATTGCATTTTTTCAGCGCACCTGTTATACCAGGCTTCCTCAACCTCGGCCCTCCCGATGTTTTGAGACTACAATTCCCATCATCCCTCGTCCTGCTAGCTAGGGATCATGGGAGTTGTAGGCCAAAAACATCTGGAGGGCCGAAGTTGAGGAAGCCCGTTATACAGTCAAACCTCGGTTGTCGAACATCTTGACTGCTGAATGTTTTGGAAGCTGAACGCCGACAACCTGGAAGTAACTGCTTTGGTTTTTGAACGTTCCTCGGAACCCAAACAGCTTCCGAGGCGCATTTTATTGGCAAAACCTATTGGTGTTTCGCAAGTGTTTGACTAGTTGCAGGACCTTAGCCAGACCTAGCAGAGTAAACGCAAAGTTCACGAAAGCAATTGGCAACTTGGCTGCAGACAGGATGGACGAAGCAGGAACCAGGAACTTGTAGTTAGGTGTTTATTATATACAGTGGGCTATTTAACAGAACAGAACACGGATCTTTGACTAGCTCTCTCTTACACAACTCACAACTCTCAACTCCTACACTGACTCGTAGTAACACAGTAGGCCATTAATCATTATTCCCGTGAGAGAGCTTGACCAATCAGGGAGCTGTCTCCATGCCTCTGTATCACCAGGCAGATGTACTCCTTCACATTGCCTCGGTTGTCAACCCTAATTGACTCTGTGTATGTAGCTGCACGTATGCAGATTCCCAACACATTTCTCTTTTTTTAAAATTAGATTTGCTGCCCTCCCTTTGATCCTCCCTTTTTTCAAACGTTTCAGAAGTCAAAAGGACTTCCGGAACAGATTACGTTTGAAAACCAAGGTCCTACTGCATATCATTGTACGCCTGGCTTGGCTGGAGTGCTGCATTGCAAAATTAAGAGCGGTGCAAATTTCAACAGGTGGCTGCAATATGCAGTTCCCGTCTCGTTTCAGGAAGCACGGATTGAGCAATTTGTCTCTGAATATCTCCCCATCCTTCGGTGTGACCCATGGCAGTGCACAGAGCAGGGGTGGCAGGAGTTTTTGGCCCTTTGGGCGTTGCTGAACTACAACTCCCAGCGCCCAGCAAGTGTGGCCAATGGTCAAGGGTGTCAGGAGTTGCATTTCAGGAACATCCGGAGGACCACAGGCATAGAGAGCAACCGACAAGCATCCCCTTCAATTCACGAATTTACTGTATTTTTTGCTCTATAAGACTCACTTTTTCCCTCCTAAAAAGTAAGGGGAAATGTGTGTGCGTCTTATGGAGCGAATGCAGGCTGCGCAGCTATCCCAGAAGCCAGAACAGCAAGAGGGATTGCTGCTTTCACTGCGCAGCGATCCCTCTTGCTGTTCTGGCTTCTGAGATTCAGAATATTTTTTTTCTTGTTTTCCTTGTCAAAAAACTAGGTACGTCTTGTGGTCTGGTGCATCTTATAGAGCCAAAAATATGGTACATTTCAGCTTCTCCTCTTCTTCCTTCCCTTCCCAGGATTATCAAACTTGGCTGGATCTGCGGGAGTTGGAGAGCAGGATGGGCGAGCGCTACATCACCCACGAGAGCGACGACGCCCGGTGGGAGCAGTTTGCCGCTGAGCACAGCGTGCCATATCCTGATCACTTGCGGGTCCGGCGGCTGCACGAGGAGGAGGAGGAGGACGAACAGCAGCGGGAGGTGGACATGAAGGGCTTGACCGAGAGGGTCAGCGTGCTCTGAGCGCCTCCTGCTTACGGGAAGCTCAAATGAAGGATGGACAGGCACGCAGAATCTCGCACATGGCGTCGGCTCCGCCCCCTGGGGGCGGGGCCTTGTTCTGAAGGAGGCGGCAGCTCCCCCTGCTGGCAGTGCCAGGGAAGACGCTCTCAGAACTTTGCTCCACTTCACACCCCAAGTTCTCCGATTCTCTTATTTTGGGGGGGGGCGTCATTGCGAGAGATCAGAAGCTGCTGAAGTAGAGGGAATGAACGTTGGGCGTCTTGGAACGGACAGGGCGGGGGAATGAGCCGGGCATTGTTCGGGTGCCTAAGGAGGGTGTTGCAATTCTTGACGCAGGAAAAAATGTTGGGGACCCCCGTCAATAGAGGTTATGGGGGGTGTTTAGGTTCTGAAATCATCTGCCTCTTGTTCTCCCGCTGTCAGGGGACTGGTTTCCAGTTTGGAACAGGATTATGTCTCTTGGGTCAGCCGCAAAACTGACTTTGAATATTCCAGTGGAGCAAAAAGACTATCTCCATCCTCAGCTTTTAAAAGAGGTGGGCTCTGGAAAACCTCTCTCCAGCGACTTGCTCCTGAAACCTTGTTCTGCTCGGCAAACCTGGATTATTTTCTCTCTCAGCCCCCGACCCCCCAGTCTCTGCCCCCCCTCCCCGCCCCCAAAACATCCCGCCCGCTCCATTCCTGTTTAAAAACTTGCCGCCTGAAACAACCCAGAAGGAAACAAGACTAGTCCCTTGTGCACGAGAGAGAGACAAAGCCGACTTTTCTTCTTCCAGCCCCAGAGTTAACGGCCAGCCTTCAGCACGGACATCTTGGCACCCAAGACCTTCACAACAGCCAGAGGCGATTCATTGAAAGGGGGGAAATCGCAAGAGGTGGTTAAGTTTCCAACCTCTCACTCACTTCTTAAAGGGCTGTGTGTTTCTGTAGCCCTGGTCTCTGCCTCTCCTGAAATGACAGCTGTCTTTTGCGAGGCTCAAATGAAGCCAAGGATTCAAAAAACTGATTTAGTTTTCGGGGGTTTTGAAAGAGGGGAGGGAAACATCTACAGAGCAGCAGCGATTGAAGTTTCCGCCTTCAGATGACCCTGTCCACATGTTGTGTGTCTTTGCTGCAGACAAAAGTCAGCCTAGATTATTGTGGTGTCTTCACACACACACACACACACACACTTCCCAACTGGGACAAAGTCCTTGCCTGCCCGATATTGACAGGTCTGGAGCCACATCTGACGCCCCAGCCCCGTGCGATCGGCTGCCTTCCTCCCCCTGGCAGAGGACATCGTGTGCCTCCTGGACTATGCTCCTGGGTTTTCTGGCAAAAGCGAGGCGCCTCGTTCTAGATCTGCAAGGATATCCCCCCTGCCTTAGCTTTGGACTCCCTTAACCTGGGCAGCTGCAACGCCTCGAATGTCTCGTTCGGGGGGGAAACAGGGTGGGAACCACCAAATGTTGTATTGTAAATAAAAATGCACCGGAAGCACAGCTTAAAACCAAACGCACAGAGTGAGGCTCTTGATATGCACAAATGTATTTGCGTGGTCCAATTATATCCATGTACTGATGGACCTACTAGATCAGAGAATGGGGGGGGGGTTGCCTAGCCTGGGGCACATTTCTGGGTAGGTAGCACATGGCATGGGGAAAGTGGGCAAATATTTTTCTGCCTCTCACAATATTATTATTATCCATGTCCGGGGCAGCTGTCTCCCAGCTCCATCTGGTACGCAGGCTGAGACCCTATCTGCCTGCGGACTGTCTCCCCATAGTGGTGCATGCTCTAGTTATCTCCCGCTTGGACTACTGCAATGCGCTCTACGTGGGGCTACCTTTGAAGGTGACCCGGAAACTACAACTAATCCAGAATGTGGCAGCTAGACTGGTGACTGGGAGCGGCCGCCGAGACCACATAACACCGGTCTTGAAAGACCTACATTGGCTCCCAGTACGTTTCCGAGCACAATTCAAAGTGTTGGTGCTGACCTTTAAAGCCCTAAACGGCCTCAAAGGCCCAGTATACCTGAAGGAGCGTCTCCACCCCCATCGTTCTGCCCGGACACTGAGGTCCAGCTCCGAGGGCCTTCTGGCGGTTCCCTCACTGCGAGAAGCCAAGTTACAGGGAACCAGGCAGAGGGCCTTCTCAGTAGTGGCACCCGCCCTGTGGAATGCCCTCCCACCAGATGTCAAAGAGAACAACTACCTGACATTTAGAAGACATCTGAAGGCAGCCCTGTTTAGGGAAGCTTTTAATGTTTCATAGAATCATAGAATCATAGAGTTGGAATAGACCACAAGGGCCATCGAGTCCAACCCCCTGCCAAGCAGGAAACACCATCAGAGCACTCCTGACATATGGTTGTCAAGCCTCTGATTAAAGACCTCCAAAGAAGGAGACTCCACCACACTCCTTGGCAGCAAATTCCACTGTCGAACAGCTCTTACTGTCAGGAAGTTTTTCCTAATGTTTAGGTGGAATCTTCTTTCTTTTAGTTTGGATCCATTGCTCTGTGTCCGCTTCTCTGGAGCAGCAGAAAACAACCTTTCTCCCTCCTCTATGTGACATCCTTTTATATATTTGAACATGGCTATCATATCACCCCTTAACCTCCTCTTCTCCAGGCTAAACATGCCCAGCTCCCTTAGCCGTTCCTCATAAGGCATCGTTTCCAGGCCTTTGACCATTTTGGTTGCCCTCCTCTGGACACGTTCCAGTTTGTCAGTGTCCTTCTTAAACTGTGGTGCCCAGAACTGGACACAGTACACCAGGTGAGGTCTGACCAGAGCAGAATACAGTGGCACTATTACTTCCCTTGATCTAGATGCTATACTCCTATTGATGCAGCCCAGAATTGCATTGGCTTCTTTAGCTGCCGCTTCACACTGTTGGCTCATGTCAAGTTTGTGGTCAACCAAGACTCCTAGATCCTTTTCACATGTACTGCTCTCAAGCCAGGTGTCCCCCATCTTGTATTTGTGCCTGTCATTTTTTTTGCCCAAGTGCAATACTTTACATTTCTCCCTGTTAAAGTTCATCTTGTTTGTTTTGGCCCAGTTCTCTAATCTGTCAAGGTCGTTTTGAAGTGTGATCCTGTCCTCTGGGGTGTTAGCCACCCCTCCCAGTTTGGTGTCATCTGCAAATTTGATCAGGATGCCCTTGAGTCCATCATCCAAGTCGTTGATAAAGATGTTGAATAAGACCGGGCCCAAGACAGAACCCTGTGGCACCCCACTAGTCACTCTTCTCCAGGATGAAGAGGAACCATTGATGAGCACCCTTTGGGTTCGGTCAGTCAGCCAGTTACAAATCCACTGAGTGGTAGCATAGTCAAGACCGCATTTTACCAGCTTCTTTACAAGAATATCATGGGGCACCTTGTCAAATGCCTTGCTGAAATCAAGGTAGGCTACATCCACTGCGTTCCCTTCATCTACCAGGCTATCACAGAAGGAGAAAGGAAAGAGGGGGAGGGGATCAAGTTGATTCCAAGCCAAAGGCCAGGCAGAACAACTCTGTCTTACACGCCCTGCGGAAAGAAATCAGATCCTGCAGGGCCCCGGTCTCATGAGGCAGAGCGTTCCACCAGGCTGGGGCCAGTGTTGAAAAGGCCCTGGCTCTGGCTGAAGCTAATCTAACTTCCTCAGGGCCCAGGACCTCTAGGGTGTTGCTATTTATGGACCTTAAGGTCCTCCGCAGGGCATACCGGGAGAGGCGGTCCCGTAGGTACGAGGGTCCTTAAAGAGGACTGGGCAAATTCACGGAGGAGGAGAGGTCTGTTGATGGATACTAGATATAAAGGCCCTGCTCTGCATCCATAGTCAGAGGCAGCAACGCTTCTGAATCCCAGCTGCTGGAAGCCACAGGAGGGCAGAGCTGCTCTTGTGCTTGAATTCTGCTTGGAGGTTCCCCACAGGCATCTGGTCGGCTGCTGTGAGAACAGGGTGGTGGACTGGTAAGGCCATTGGCCGGATAAAGCAGGCTCTGTTCTTCTGTTATGAAACAGAAGGTGATCCGAGTAGGATACAGTGGTACCTTGGGTTACATACGCTTAAGGTTACAGACTCCGCTAACCCAGAAATAGTGCTTCAGGTTAAGAACTTTGCTTCAGGATGAGAACAGAAATTGTGCTCCGGCGGCGCGGCAGCAGCAGGAGGCCCCATTAGCTAAAGTGGTGCTTCAGGTTAAGAACAGTTTCAGGTTAAGAACGGACCTCCGGAATGAATTAAGTACTTAACCTGAGGTACCACTGTATGGTTAACACACAAAAAAAGGTTCTTTAATCAAATAGCATCTTCTTATTTGCTTAAATTGGGCAAGCTGAGAATGTGTGTCCCATTTTTGGTGTGATTCACATCAAGACAAGTTGGGAAACTTACCAAATCCCCCCCCCCCTTAGCAAGCGTCTAAATGTGAGTACGGACTCGGGTGGCGCTGTGGGTTAAACCACAGAGCCTAGGACTTGCCAATCAGAAGGTCGGCGGTTCAAATCCCCGCGACGGGGTGAGTTCCCGTTGCTCGGTCCCTGCTCCTGCCAACCTAGCAGTTTGAAAGCACGTCAAAGTGCAAGTAGATAAATAGGTACCACTCCAGCGGGAAGGTAAACGGCGTTTCCGTGCGCTGCTCTGCTTCGCCAGAAGTGGCTTAGTCCTGCTGGCCACATGACCCAGAAGCTGTACGCCGGCTCCCTCGGCCAGTAAAGCAAGATGAGCGCCGCAACCCCAGAGTCAGCCACGACTGGACCTAATGGTCAGGGGTCCCTTTACCTTTACCTAAATGTGAGTGAGGCCTTAGGTGAGCCTGAGACCTTGGCCAAAGGACCATCCATTTTTTTCTGGGGAACACAGAGTGCTAAAGGAAGCAGCTGAATCATGTAGAGAGGTACCTCGGGTTACAGCCACTTCAGGTTACAGACTCCGCTAACCCAGAAATAGTACCTCGGATTAAGAACTTTGCTTCTGGATAAGAACAGAAATCGTGCGGTGATAGCGGGAGGCCCCATTAGCTAAAGTGGCACCTCAGGTTAAGAACGGACCTCCGGAACAAATTAAATTCTTAACCCAAGGTACCACTGTATTAGAATTTGGGGGAGGAATAAACAATATTTTGTTCCAATTTGTGTAAGCTGCCGTGAGTCCTGATCTGGCCAAAAGGCAGGATATAAATTAACATCATGGCCATCATTCACTGTACTCATTTTGGCGCCTGCGAAAAACATTCAGGTTTGGCTTAGAAAACCAATGCTTATAAAGTGGGTGTAACTTTAATCTTCCTTAGTATTTTAACTTCTGTATGTTTTAAAGGAGGGTTGTTGATTTTTATTGCTTTTTCTCTCCCCCCCCCTTTTTTGTAATCCACTTTGAGGTTTGTTTGGTGTGATTTTTTAAACCATCAATAGTGTATAAATTTTACGTAATAAATAAATGAGGCCACTTTTTCCGGAGGAGATGTGAGGGATAATGACTGGGGCTAATTGACGGGTTTGGCGTCGCAACATGTCCTGCTCAATTAGGAGTTAAATGAATGGAGTAGGAGCTAATTTGGGAGGGGGTTAACAATCAATTTAATTGGGTAATTTGGGTGGGGAATTGGCTGGCTTGCCTTTTGTGACTTTTAAATTCCACATTCGCACATCGACATAGCAACAAGCATGTGCCAGTTTTATGCAAATGTTATCTGTGAGCCCACATCTTTTAAAGTACAGCGGTACCTTGGTTTACAAACTTAATATGTCCCGGAAGTCCAAAGCGTTCTTAAACCAAGGCGCGCTTTCCCATAGAAAGTAATGGAAGTAATGGAAAATTAATCTGTTCCAGACGATGAAAAACAACCCCTAAAACAGCAATTTAACGAGACCATTGATCCATAAAATGAAGGCAATAATCAATATACTGTACTATAAAATAAATAAGACATTATTGTAGATGATAAAAATAAAAATTAATTTTTTCTCCTTACATGCATTTCTTAACAAATCAGAAAGAGAAAGACCAAGAAAGGAGGCACAAAAAAGAAAAAAAAAAAAGAGAGGGAAAAGAAAAGGGGGAAGTGGTCTCTTAGACAACCTTAAACTATTTCCCATTCTTTTGTAACGATTTTGTCCTCTTGGTTCCTGAGTTTTCCAGTCAGATTTTCCATTTCAGCATCGTCCATCAGCTTGGTTTGCCATTCTTCTCTGGTAAGGCGCTCCCCTTCCCAGGGGTGGAGCTTCAAGCTCTGGCGGGGGGGCACAGAGAGCAGGCGGAGGCGTGGCTGGCGGCGTCCCGGAGGCATGATGCATGTCCCGGGGCCATGGCGCGCCACCTGCACCCCTGTTCCTCTGCCAGTGCCCCTTCCTCATTTAACCTCCTCCCCAGTGGCGTAGCGTGGGGGTGCAGGGGGGGGGCCGGCCGCACCGGGTGCAACATCTGGGGGGGGGCACGCTCGCACTCGCAGCTCTCTGCCCCTACCTGGCTCACTCACTCTCTCTCACTGCAGTGCTGGCTGTGCGAATCCGATCCGAG